AGGTTTTGTCCGTTTCGGCCTTTTCCTGAAGGACCTGTTGTCGCACCGAGCGATGGTGCGTTCCTCCCTGCCTTCGTTCAGCTGTGATTTTGGCTGCGAGGCGCCCAGGTCCCGGCTGGGACCCCCGGCCCTCCCCCGGCCCTCCCGGGTCAGCGCTGCCGGGAGCGGCCTGTGGGCAGCGACCACCCTCCGGTTAGAGTCAGTCGGGAACAACTCATCTCCCGAAGGAGGAAGGCTTGCTCCAGAGAAGTCATCCAGTCACTGAGCTAAGAGGTGGCAGGAGGGTGTGGGTTGGAAATGTGACACTGAGGGGGACAGCGGCACTTTTGGGGGATTTGTGAGGATGAGGGCAGGGCTGGCGTGGGAGACATCCCGTGTGCTGAGGGTCAGGAGGAAGTAGAGCTCAGACTGGTGATGGGCCTTGCCCCACGGCCTGAGTGTGGGTGTCCCAAACCCCCAAAGAAAGGTGTTCTGAAACGCCCGGTGGGCTCGGGTTGGGTTGCTCGGGGAGCAGCACACCTTCTGTTGCCATGCACTTTCTGTCTTACACCGCAGATAGGTTTGGGACTTGTCTTTGCTTCTCAGAGTTACGTAGTTTTAGTTGTTGGTGTTCTGTGCTGGTTCTTCCGATATAATTACTTATGTACATACTGAAATGAATCAAAATGCTGTAATGTAGGTAACGTTTGAATCACCAGAAGGTATGATGTGGGAGAGGGGATAACAACTTCTGTGGAATGGGACTAATGTTTTAAAAAAAAAAAAATCCCAAATTAACTCCCAGGGAGGTACTTTTATCTTCACAGAATTTTGTTTTCATGATAAATAGAGCTCACATATCTTCTGTGGGCAGCTGTCCCTATCTCACACAAAGTAGCGTATCTATGCTTTTTAAACATCAGTGGTGTTATGACTCGGGGATGAAGTTGTGTTACTGTGGTTGTGTGTGTTAAGCTCATCAGGACTATGCGGTGTATCAGAATGGCTATTAGGGTAATCTTGTAAGCCGGCCTTTTGATTTTGTTGTGTTGTGACATTACAGCACTGTCAGATAATGACTTGATCTTGGTGAATAACACTGCTGTCTTATCCATATGTATAAAGAAATCTTAACTTAATCCTTTCTTAAATAATAATGAAAAAAAAAATCATTCCCTTCTTTTACTTAAACCAGAAATAATTTGTCAGGGGGCTGTTTGGGACCTGCTGCATGTGCAGTTGCGTCAGGAGACCTGGGGGGCTGCAGCCTCTCCACCTGCGTCAGGTGTAGCAAGTGCGGGATGCCTGATTGCCTGACTAATTAGTGTATGCCCCGTGAACTCCATCAATTTACACTTTGTTTCTGTGGCAAAGCGTGTATAGTTTTCTTTTACGTGAGGTGATTTTACATGTACTTTTTTGGTACACTTCCTATTTTCAGGCAGGAGTTCACTGTTCACACGGTTCGGGCTTGTCTTATCACACGCTTCCTGTTTTGAATCACTCTGCCGTGTTCCTGAAAACAGATCTGACCTATCTTTGTAGCTTCTCCCTTGTTGTGTTTTGATATCAGCTTAAGCATATTTCGATTGTGTCCGTAATTGGTTCTCTTTTAAAAATGATTCAAATAAATTCCAGCACAGACACTTAATTAAATTAAATTTAAACCTGAACTACCAATTTTCCCATAACCTGACAGCTCTCTCACTGCATCTTCAGGCTATCTAACGCTGTGTTCCTTCTCTTTCCCATCCCCACCTGCTACTTGAGAATGGGTAAAATGTACTATTAAAAAAACCTGTTTCAATTAAACAAGTGTGACTCAGAAAACAGGTCGCAGTGCTTAACTTCCCGCTGCTTTTTGATCAGTCCACTCTCCGCCATGCGCTGTCAGATCCGCTCTGGTCTGTATCATTTAGGCATCATGGGGCTGGAGCTGCTGTCTGTCCTCTCTCTGGCCTCCCCAACACTTAGCGGGAGCAAAGAACATTCTCTTGGCCCACTGTGCTGAACTTTTCAGTTCACTTGCCAAATCTGTCTGTTGGCTTTTTTTTAAATGTTATTGTCTTTTTTTTTTTTTTTTTTTTTTGCAACACACCATTTACATTTCCAGTGGTACCACTTTGTGACAGATTCTATATAACTGTAGACTCTTTCATCAATGTGATTTCTTTTCAGTAGAACGTACAAGCTGAAATGACAAGCAAGGCCTCAGCTTTTTTCTTCAGAAGAATTTTGAAGCCCCATTTCTGCTATGACATGACCAAATAAACAACAGCTTCCTTTATCATGGCTGAATGGCCGTCATTTGGAGCTGGTGAAGTTATGTACTGAGATGGGCGTAAAGAAAAAATCCTGGGGATGATTGTTAGTCAAAACAAAGTGAGGTTCAGGTGTAACTGGTGACTGGAACAGGAAATGTCCTGTTAGTTCATCAATGAGTGTGTGATAAGGTTTTCTGTGATGAAAAGAGACCAGACTCATTGATCTGGAAGGCTGCCTCCAGTCTTGGCTTAGGTTAGTGCTAGGGCATCTCATTTAATTGTTGTTTTTTTTCCTTCTTAGAAGTGAAAGTTGTTAAAATAATGGAATAATTAATAAAGAGGTGGTGTGAATGTTATTAATTTGTTTTTTAAATTAGGTTAGGCTTTTTCCCAAAACATATGCTTTTATTTGGCTCTGGGCTGTGATGGTTATCATCCATGAGCAGATGCTCCCATCCCTCCTGGCCTGTGGTTTGAACAGGTTTGCCTGCATTGCCTTCAGCACACACACAACATCAACTCTGCTTAAAAACCACAACTATGATCAGATCTCACGTTTCAGGGATTCAGTAAATTTATTGCATGGGTCAGAGAAGACTTTATGATGCACAGTTGCTTAGATGTACTCTGACAGGATGCAGAAGTTCCCTCATCACGTACCTGGCTTCTGTTGTACTCGCTTATTTACCCTCAAATTCATCTCTGGATTTTAAATAAAGAAGAATTTTCCAAAATAGAAGAGATCTTGAATTCTGTTTTCTTTTTCCTGGGATGTGCTAGATCTGAAGGTCTGTCTTGCTGCTCAGTTGCCTGTTACTGCAGGGTTCTTGGCACGTTGAGTTTCATGTGTCGCTGACAGAAAACTGGAGTGTCTTCTGAAGACTGAGCTAAGAGCAGCAGAGGAACCTGAGTTTAATGTCCTGTTCTGCATGTTGGTTTTAATCTGATGTAACATTCCTACTCAGTTTTATACTTCTTGGTGTTTGAAGCTACACAATAGCTAGTATTATTTACTAGTTCACCTGCCGTCAGCTGTATTTCTGGTTTGCTTATAAGATGGCTTTGATTTGGATCTGTTCAGAGTTGGAGTTAACTTCCTTGACAATTCTTGATTTTACTGAGCCTTTAACTTGACACATATGTTATCTTGCTCTTTTTTTTTTCACTATGACAGTCCCGAGTGGTTTTATTATTTAATGTGTAAATTAAAAAAACATTGTAATAAGATAGAACTGAAGAGTAGTATGTGGAAAGAGGCATGACTGCTATTACCACTTTTTATTTATAGACTTCTGAGTTTTTTCAAAAGAGCAGGTAGGTACTATCATTGGAAATAGTTTGTAGGTCTCCACTAAATGACCAGTAAGCTCTTCAAGAAGGTAATAAATAAGTGTTTTCATGGGAAGAACTGCAAATAGTGGGTCTTTTTTCAGAGTTTCCCCAGCAGGACTCCTCCATCCCCGGGAAGTGCAAGGACTGTTATTTCCCCAGCACTCAGAGGCCCAGCAAGGTTGTAACATTTACACGCTCATGTAATGGCTGAGCAGTAAAGCTAATGTTAGGCAGGGCTCCTCATGTTAGACTTTGTGTTTGAAATACAAGGTCATGCTGCCTTCTGTGCTGTAATTCATGTATTCTTTTTCAGATCCCTGCTGGGCATCTATAAACAGGGGGATTCTGATCTGTGATGAGTGCTGTAGTGTTCATCGAAGTTTGGGGCGTCATATCTCCCAAGTGAGACATCTCAAGCATACGCCGTGGCCTCCAACACTGCTGCAGGTAAACAGGAAAACTAGGTCTTTCTTCATTAAAACTAGATATATATTTTTTTTAAGATTTCTTATGGAATTTGAATCGCTAAGCTTTTGTTTGAGAGGGGCTGGTTCTTTTAAGCTTTCTTTTTCTAGGTTAGTCCTCTTTTATTTCTCTTGTTTCCCCACAATGGTCCACTAAAATAAGAATTGTCTATGCCTTTTTAATTTGATACCTTTGGAACATCACCTTCAACTTTTCTGTCAGACTTCTGCAATGCATCTGCTTCAACCTAAAATTTCACGATATAGCAAGCCTCTCTTTTCAGTAGAGCTGCTGTTGGGAAGAGTAGAGAATTTTACGAGGGTTCTTATTACGTTCCACGTAATAACCTCCTAGGCGTGTGTCTGGTCCTGATATCCCAGTAGGTTATGGTTGCTGGCACACAGAATATGAACCTCTGTTGGCTTGCTGTCCACTTGAAAATAATTACAGATATTTGATTAGTCAGTCTGTGCAGCTAGCAGCAGCATTTCTTTACTGCCTGTTTGTGTACGTTTTGGATTTCAGATGGTTGAAACACTGTATAATAATGGTGCTAACTCCATATGGGAACATTCATTGCTGGACCCTGCCTCTGTTATGAGTGGAAGGCGCAAAGCTAGCCCACAAGATAAAGTGCAGTAAGTGGAAAATTATGAAATTTTTATTTTTGTAGAAGTGTGATTATTCAGCAGTGACAGAGGCAGCAAGGTATCCATGGGAACCTGTGTATATTTCATTGTTGGAAGAGGACAGGAGTAAACTAGTTATTTGTTCACTCTTTTTAAAAAACTTTTTAAAAATTCCCAGTGATTAATTATTTTAAAATGTACTGCAAAAATTGAAATACATTGCTTGAATTCTCTGAACTATTGATTCCTGATCTCTGGCTTTGAATAGTGACAACCTTTTACTTGTACTTGAATCAAAAGACTTTTAACTCTCATGCCCATGCGTCAGTTGACTGAATGCTGCTAATGAGGTTGGGTTTGGTTAATGAAATAAAAAAAAGAGAGAAGATTTCTGTCTCTGAATATGGTGCTTCATTTTAAATGTAAATAGCTGCATATAGCATGTAAAGATCTCAAGCTGGCATTATTTTTGAGTTCAACGTTTACTTCTAAGCAACATACACTACATCCTAGAGCCTGCGGATATTTTGATGTTTGTAGCAAAAGTATGCTCTGTATAGGTAGACAATCCGCACTGGGTTGTTTTTTTATGAAAACATTTTTCAGTGTCTAACTTTGCCACTCGTAGCATGCAAAGATCTAATGGAATCTTCATTTGCAAATTTTCCTTTTTCTAGAGCATCTGTATTATTGTGAAAGCACTAATATTTGTTTTCTTTCTCTTGGGTTTCTCTTTACAGTCCCAATAAAGCAGAATTCATTAGAGCTAAATATCAAATGTTAGCATTTGTTCATCGCTTGCCGTGCCGCGAAGATGACAGTGTTACCGCCAAAGATCTTAGTAAGGTTGGTGTGTTTTTTCTGTTGGTGTGCTGAAGTTACAGCTTGTGTGTAACAGAACGCTGAAATCTGACTGAATTAAATGAGTTGCTTTTAACGTGAGATAACCATTGCTGTTCTCCAGCATTATTACGTAAACAAATCCAGCTTGCCTTCAACTTGAAGCCACTTTATTTGGTAATATATATGGATACTGGGGATGGGGATAGTTGAGGGGTACCAGTTTTCGTTAACTTGGAATAAAAAGTTAACACAAAACAGCGGTAGCAAGAATTCTTGCATACCCATTTCTAAAAGACTGGCTGAACAAACAAATGCTGAATCACAGTTATTGCTACTGTATTAAGTACAATCTTCTTCTTTTTCAGCAACTCCATTCCAGTGTAAGGACAGGGAATCTGGAGACGTGTTTGCGATTGCTCTCCTTAGGAGCTCAAGCCAACTTCTTTCATCCAGTATGAACACTTTATCGTTATTTTGGTATACAATAAATTCTTACAGTTTGTAATATTTATACTGATTTCAGCTGATACACATTATATTTCGATCTTCTGCTCAGACCTGTGATTAAGTAGATATTTTTCTTAATAACTTGTAGGAGAAAGGAAACACCCCGCTCCATGTGGCTGCCAAGGCAGGACAGACTTTACAAGCAGAATTATTAGCGGTTTATGGTGCTGATCCTGGCACGCAAGATTCCAATGGAAAAACTCCAGTTGACTATGCAAGGTAGAAGGCTCTGACATATGTGATGCTCTTATATATTAACTGATGTTCATAAATCACATTATGAGTCTTAGATATGTTCCTGTCCTGAAAATACTTTGACTGTTAAATGCTAACGAGTACTTTTTCCAGAAAGAGCGAATGCACAAAGAGTGTAAATAACTATTTGCGTAACTTCATAACCTGTATTCTCCTGGGTGCTTGAGACAAAAGTTGTGATCCCAATGAAACAGGCTGTGCCAACCTGGCAGCTCACAGAAAGTATTGGAGGAGAAGGGTTTCTGCAAGTTCAGCAGCTGAGCAGACTCCAGGAGTGCAGAATAACTGGGGAATTGCTGTAGGAAAGGCCTGGACTGCACAGATGGGTCAGGGAGCAGGGGGTGGAAACAGGCCTTTTAGTGGCAGTGAACTGTTACGTTCATTCAGTCACTGAACTGCGCCCTCAGGAAGCCTGCCTTTCGAAAGGCTCTCGGCTTCCCAAGGGCAGGCAGCAGTCATGTCAAGAGACATTAAACATGAATGCTCTGCTGATCAGGTGGGCAGTAATGAGGCACTGCAAGACTTGCAGCACAGCACTGAAGATTTTTTTGTGCTTCTATGCAAAATTGGACATTACTGATCAAGTAGAAGCTGCGCATTTGTGTAAATAAAACATCCTTATTGCTCTGCTTTTGAATCGAGGCCATACATGGGATCTGAAGGCTGAATAAATTCAGTTGGTTGCAGAACATGAATGCCAGAGTATTTCTCTTTCTCAATGCTGTTAATCAAATGTGAAGTTGGGTGAGCTCACTGCAGTGCTGAGGAACTGTCTAGAAAATTGTAGACAGTTTATCCAAAGTAGCCTATATAAGCTGGGTTTTTTTTCTGCATGAAAGCAGTAAGCAAAGCTTTTCAGAGTTTTCAGACTCATTTTGGGAAGTTCATAAAAGTTTATCAATATATAGTTTTTTGCCCAGTGGAACATACTATTGAAAATCCTGCTGTGAGTCTGTGCTGTGTTGATACACGCAGACATGTGCAGTGTTGAGCAGTGGCTTGTTCTAAACCTATTTCTCTGACCATATTTTGATTTTTTTTTGTATGTCTCAAAATGAATAATTAATGTAACTTTTTTCTGTGTGTAAACCAGACAAGGTGGGCATCATGAACTGGCAGAGCGCCTGGTGGAAATTCAGTATGAACTCACAGACAGGTTAGCTTTCTATCTCTGTGGCAGGAAACCAGGTAAGCAGAAAAAACTACACTCTGAGATATTTTAGTGTTAATTATAGGACAGTTCAAACTATGGCATATGATGTTTGTGTCAGTGTTACTACACTTTTTATATGCATTTCAAATATTCTAACATTATATAAATTATACAGGAAGAACTAAAGAAAGTTTAAGATGTAATAGTAGTGATAATGTATTTAAAATTCAGCTAAAACTGCAGGATTTGAAGTATACCTAAATTAAAAATTTCTGTTCTTCCACAAATATGTTCTATAAATGGAACACCACTGAAAGTGTGGAGAAACCTCCCTATAACCTCAGATGAGAACTGTTTAAATTCAAGGAGTGAATTGCAGGGAAAATACAGATTTTTGTGAATGTTGGCTAGTCTTCAGGAGATACTGTAGAAACTCTTCTAAGGAGTTTCTGCTCATTGAAGTGCAAAAGCAGGGGAGTATTCGATCAAATGGGTACCTTTTGAACACAAGCACACATAAATTTTTACCCATTAAGTGCCATAAAGGCACCTCTGTTAAAACTTCTTTAATTGAGTTTTTAATACAGTTGGTAAGCTTTGATTCAAATCTTTGATAACAGCAGGAAATTGTGGTAGAAATCTTCTTTAAGACTTGCTAGCTTCCTGTAATTGGAAATTGAGCAATTACCTGCAAGACAAATTATTCTGTGTTTGCCTGTTGCATATATTCTTGGGTTTCTCATTGCTATGTCTTGTAGTAAATACCAGCTGTATATCCTGACAACATTGAAAACTATAGTCCAGTAACAACCTATTAAAGTGCAATTTGTTTTCAACTCTAGAGCATAAAAATGGACAGCACTTCGTTATACCTCAGATGGCAGACAGGTAAGTTGCTGATTCCCTGGCATAAACATAAAAATAAAAAACCTGATAACTAAGTTTCCTTTCCCTTCTTGTTGTTATTCTAGCTCTTTAATGTGTGCCTTTATCAATCTTGGAAGCTTTTTCTTTCTAGAAAGAATATGGTCATTTAAACAAAATCAGAAAATTATATGCTTACTGGATTGGTTAAAATGCAGAGGGAAGGTGAGAGTCATATTAAGGGAACACAGGTGGCGATTCTTGGGAAACAGGTTTTGTAAAAAATGTAAGGACCAATTGAGTTAGTTTCCTGATACAGCATTTTGAGACTAATACTTGCAAGAAAGCTGCATTTTTCTCTGAAAATATTTATACTTTTGATCACCAGAATGCTTTTAACTTTTGGTTATGATCAATGAAATCACAGTTCTATAAAACATACCAAGTATTAATCATAAATCCCTATTTTTCTTTTATTGCTATGCAATTGGAAATAAGACGGCTGTAAGTAAACTACTGTTCAACTTATTGCTTCCAAAATTTGTATGAAAAACTGTAGTAAAATAAAAATTGTATAAACTATGCAGTAGTTGGTAAAATACTTAGTGTTAACGTGTAATTTCTTTAGAAGCGCTGTGTTTAGCTATTGGATAAAGTACTTTGTATTTTCAGTGCAAAGTATTTTGCAGAGCAGAATGTCATTTGCCTCATTACACAGAGAAGGAAGTTGACGTGCAGAGAAAATGTTCAAAGATGCCGCTCAGATCACAGAGCCTGCGGTATAGCCTGTCTTACCTCTGCCTGATGTCCTCTGCTAGTCTGTCTTTTTTTTTTTTTTTCCCCTTGTCTAGGTAACTGCCTACACAAACTCTCTGTGATGTCAATTAATCGTCCAGAGGTTTTATTTGAGCCTTTCCATCCTCGTAGGTCAGGGGAGTCCTCCCCTGGGTGATATAATTATGGACTAAAAATCTGTCAGCTTCCTGAGAGGTGGCTCTTACAATAAATTCTGTTAAACTGCACAGTTTTTATCTGTGCCTCATTTTCAAGTCTGGAAACTAGTAGAAGAGATTATTTACTAATCCGTACAGAACAATTTTACGCATGGCCCTTTTGCTGTAGCCATTTGCCAGCCTGATGGTCACCTACCTCCTGCACAGTCCAGTGGAACAAATCCTCAGTGTTTTATGGGGACTCAAGGCTTGGTCAGAATGATCATATTGTGCAGATTCCTTATGGAAAGCATTTTGTTGCGCTATATTTTGACTGCTTCCTGAGCTATGCACATGTGGGTATTCACATTCCAAAGGATTTTTGGGATTGTTTTGTTTTAAATTTAAGACTGATGTTTAGAAAACCTTAAGAACATATTAATTTGTTTATTATCAATATTAGTAAGATCAATGTGTTGAAAACTGTATCAAAATACTGAAAGATTAAGGAGTTTTAAATAAAAGTAACATTTTGGTCACTGAATTATTGAGATGTAGAATTTGTGTCTAAACAAGCTATTAAATGCTGTAGATGTAATGATCACTTTTTGTTTTCATAGCAGTCTAGATTTATCAGAACTTGCAAAAGCAGCTAAGAAGAAGCTTCAGTCTGTAAGTAAAACTTCTTTGTCAAGTCGTGGCAAACACTGCACTCCATCTTTCAAGCCGGTCTTAGCTGCTGTTAATTCCTGCATAAATAAATGCCCAGCACCAACACAGTCCTCCCAGCAGGGCTGGGGAGAGCACAGGAAGAGCAAAAGTGTGAAAACTCATGGGTTGAGCTAAAGGCAGTTTAACAGGTGAAGGGAAGACATGAAAAACAAGGGTTGCAAATTAAATCGCTCAACACCTGCCCCAGGCAAACCACTGCCCAGCTAGTCTCTGAACAGCCACCTTGGTAGCCCAAAACCAAACTACTTCTTTTTCCACCTCAGGTTTTATTGCTGAGCCTGCCACGATATGGTATGGCATATCCCTTTGGGGGATTCACATCAGCAGCCCTGGCTGTGTCTCCTCTCAGCTGCATGCCCACCCTGAGCCTGCTGGGTGGTGGGGTGGGCAGAGCAGGGGCGGGGAAGAGAATGCCTTGGTGTTGTGCGAGCACTGTTCAGCAAAACAAGGTAGTGTTACCAACTCTGTTCTAGCCACAAATCCAAAACTCGGCAAGCATCATGTGGGCTACTACAGAGCGAGTTAATTCCTTCCCAGCCAGACCCAGTACACAAGTAAACATACTGGCTTTGTCTGGGTTCTAGAATGATGGCAGCTGCTCTTTAGTTTGGTGCCCATTACTAATGTTAATGCGCTGTACGTCAATAAGTGAAACATCCACAGAGCCCTCTGACATCTTAATTTCACATCCTATCTTCCAACAGCTCACTTCTTTGTAACACAAGTGTCTCTCTTGAACCATCCACTGTAGGAGCACAGTTTGAAACACACAAGCATTTTGTGAGTCTTCACTGTTAAGCCCAGATCTGCAGTGGCGTTTGGGTACCTCATTCCCACAGTGGGTCTGCTTCACCCCAAATACGCAAGGTCTTTTCATGATCAGATAGGAGAGAAAAAAAAATTGCTAACCAGTAAAGGAAAAGTGTAGGACAGTATTGTTGTCTCTGTTTCTAGCAATTGGGTGGTTGTATATGTCTGCTTAATGGATCACTTGACTATGCAGGCTGCGAAACAAGCAGCCAAGGGAGAGCAGAGTTGTGCTCTTGTATTTTCTATGTTATAGCCATCCTATGAGGTTTCATTTATTTTCAAGTTGTAATTATTCTCTTCTACCCTTAGCTAAGCAACCACTTATTTGAAGAACTTGCCATGGATGTCTATGATGAAGTTGACAGGAGGGAAACAGATGCAGGTGAATGAGGCTTTCTGGAATGTGTATAAAATAAGTTTGAATTGTTACATACAAATGCTGGTGGAAGCCTATGTTCTGTTTAAAGTACTTTTGTATTCGGTAATTACTGATAATGGTACTTTTCTTTGTCTTGCATTGTCTGAAGGTGACGTTAATTGGAAAAATCTTGTGCTTTTTACAAAGTAGAGAACCCTCAGGGGAAAAAGCCTTCCTTTGAATTGATTGTGTTTGTGTTTGAAATGGTGGTCTTTTATTCTTTGACAAGAAACACTGTCAAATAGCACAGGAAGCTTATTCCCTTTTTTTTTTTCCTTGAGCAGTTTGGCTTGCTACTCAGAATCATAGTACACTTGTGACAGAGACCACAGTGGTCCCTTTCCTTCCTGTGAATCCTGAATATTCCTCAACCAGGAATCAGGTATGCAGTCTTCTTAATACTGTAAAAATACTTTTATCTAATAGGCCAGGTATTCTAAGTAATATTGCTTTACTGTACTTCATTACTGTAGAAGAGATGCATCTATTTGTAAAGAGGTTTAAATAGTTTCATATTTCCCCTGCCCTGGAGCATGCAGCTGGATAATTTAAATCTCACTTTTTGCAAAAAATGTAATTGAACAATCAACTCGCTGTAAGTGCTATAGTCTATTAGTTCTACCTAGGAACTCTGCTGTTCATCTAATACACAATGTAAGGGGTTTTTTTTCTGCGTTATTCTGTAATTCAGGGAAGGCAGAAACTGGCTCGATTTAATGCCCATGAATTTGCTACGCTAGTTATAGATATTTTAAGTGATGCCAAACGAAGACAACAGGGGAATCCTCTCACTGGCTCAAAAGGTGAGTATACTTTTGGTTGTTGGCTCGTCTATATGCAATTCCTCAGTAGTTTAATCAATACCATAGCCTCATTCAGAAGCACTACATGAATGAAGATTGAGATTTATACTGTTTTTATAAGTGGTGAGAACTAAATCACGTAGATAGCAGGCTACTGATGACATGCATTAGGCTACCAAAATAATGTCCAAGTACAGGAGGTTTGTCTGTTAAGATTAGTATTGTAATACAGTAAAATCAAATGGGGTATGTGCAATTCAGGAACATCTTTTTATGATGGCTGTGATTCTTATAATAGCTTGGTAACATTTTGTAGCGTACTGCTGTACAGTTTTAGTGATACTGCTTTTGCTTGGCAGCCAGGATAACGTCAGTGGTTTAAATGGCTGCTCTATACAGGCAGAACGCTGCCATAATTTAGATGCTCTTGAGCTTATTGCTGATTTGCCTAAAAATGTTTACTTTTTGTATTTCTTGAGCATGATGTCAAAGAATACAAACACCTATGCCAACAACCAGACAGCGACATAGTTCCAGCCATGGCAGTATTGTCTGTCTGATTGAAGATCTTTTCTGATTTAATTTTTTTAAAAATTACTTTAAAGTATGTACTTCCATTTATTCTCCAAGCTTGCCAGTATGTTTTTAAATGGTGTATGTTGATCTACAGAAAACGTGGAATTGATACTCAAATCAATCAGCAATCAACATAGTAGTGAAAGTCAGGATAATGACCAGCCGGATTACGACAGCGTTGCTTCAGATGAAGATACAGATCTGGAAACAAATGCAGCTAAATCAAACAGACAGAAGGTCGGTTTGAAATATTTATGCACACTGTTGTATTCATAAAGGTAATCTGCAGTGAATCTTTCCCCTTGTGAGGAGACGTAACATGCATAAATGATCAGAAAATGAATGTTTTAATTCATTTTCAAATTCATTTCAGAATTGTGCCTCAGTCTATGACCTTTAACAAATGAAGTGTTGTGACTTAAGGAATTTTTATTGTAAATAAAATGCTCCTCTAGAAAAGTCATGTGTGCCACTCCGCATGTCTGGAGTTAGGATACAGATCTAATTGCACAGATGAAATAATTTGATCGACTAAAACACTCTTAATCAGTGATACCATGGTATTTCACAAACATTTATGGCTTCCTACTTACAGCAGAAGAATAGTGGCTGAGTGTTTTAAACCATTCCTGAAAATAATGCAGCATGGTAAAAAAAGGGGTGGTAAACCTAGCAGTTCTAGTTTAATCTTCCCTGGTAACATGCACACTGGATATTTAGTAATGTGTCTTTTATGACTTTCTAGTTCTTTATTGCATATTTAAAAAAAAAAAATCCTTATAAAAGAGTATAGCGTCACTGAAATGCTGAGGCAAATGTTTTTGTGCATCGGAGATAAGAGTTGATTGACATCAGATTTCTTTTATATTGGACTAAAATTATTTTAATGAATGGATCTTACTAATTTGAAATTAATTTGAAGCATGATTCCTTTAAATAAGTACATGAAAAGCTGTCAAAATCTCATTGTCTTGTTTTTTTTAGGTAGTCTGTTTCTCAGTGGTGAAGTATTGTTCTCTTACTGTTTGTAGAGCCTGGATTCCGACTTGTCAGATGGACCAGTGACAGCCCAGGAATATCTGCAAGTTAAAAATGCATTGGTAGCTTCTGAGGTGAAGATTCAGCAGTTAATGAAAGTGAACATCAACTTGAGTGATGAGCTGAGAATCATGCAGAAAAAGGTAACAGCCACAGTAGTGCAACCCCTTAATTTCTTGGTGGGTTTTAAGTTGACCAGAGTAAAACTGCTGAAACTGAAGAGGCAGTAACCCAGTATTAGGATAGTGAGAAAACTTATTTTAAAATGGACCTGTTTTGGAACCAGATGAGACCATAAATATATATGTGCAGCACATGCTTTGGGCTTTTTGTTTGTTTTCCAAGTGACAAGACAGTTGTTGCAAGTCTTGTATGTTTTTGCTGTCTTGCTTCAAGATAAGCAGTTTTCAATAATGAGGAAGAGCTAGCACACATCTTACATGTGTGCACATACCTTTATAATGTACTTCCAATTTTTCCAGTAAATATGTTGGGTTTTTTCTGTTAATAATCCTAGGGGGAATGAAGGGAAATTAAAATCCCAATCTAGTTTGGCAGTAGCAAATAATCTGAAATGTGGCAATACAATATAATAGTTTTATATACCAGGAGGCCAAGATTTATTTGCTTGCGTTTAAATCTGTGGGAGGTAGCACGTAAAGGATGTAGTGGTAAACTCAGTTACTGCTTTGACCCTTCAGTGGGGGTTTTGTCTAGACGAGGATAAGGCAGAGGTATCTCATTTCCCAGATGAGTTACTATGTATGGATAGTCTTGTAACAGAAAACAACGTTTCTTGCTAAAATCCTGAATTTAAAGCTCCTTCTAATCCTTATATAAACAAATTAACAATTTGTTGGATGTTTTGCCAGTGTTCTGCTTAATAGAGATTTTTGTGGGGTAAAGGAGAATTTATATCTGTGTTGAGTGGGGCAAAGAGGCTGATGCTTTAGAGAGTGGTGGGCATTGCTGAGCTCTTAGCATCTGAGGCCAAGCTAATTCAGCAGATTTGAATATCTTGAAGTACCATCCTGCTGTTACAATTCTGTGCTGAGAGGAACCTAAGAGATCTCAGAGTGTTTCCTTGGTCTTTTAACAGCTTAACTTTCCACTTATATTGAGTTCCTTTAAACAGATAGAGTCTATTTAGGGTAAAAAAAAAAAAATCTTTTGCCCTGTGAATTACGAGGCTTCAGTGTATTCACGTGGTGTAGCAGAAGAGAGGCCATTGCTGTGCTGCAGTTGAACTTGGTTTGAAGGATGGCATAGCCAGGGCTCACTCGGCTTGAAGATGAGTTGAGCTAATTTTTTGTCCTAATGGTGTATGGAGCTGCTTGAATTTGGTGTTGGTGGCTGTGGATACGGCCGTGTGCCACTGCAGGAGGCAGGGTGGGAGGAAGGGGTGGCAGCTGGCTTACCTCTGAGCTACTGGGAACTTCAGGGCAATAAGAGTGTTCTCTGCTGGGTTACTTGTAGCAAGACACAAATATATTTGTAATAATTCAGCAATTCTAATGCTATAAATGTAGTTCAAGAGTCTCTTTTTTTTGTTGTTGTATTCTAAGCAAGGGTTTCGAAGGTCATAAACTAAAAAAAAAACCTAGCCACTCTATGTATCACTTTATTGTCCAGCTGTGTATCTAATATTTTGCATGGCAATTCCTAAGCAAAAGATGCTAATTAAAGAAGAGGCAAAGCTACACTTGATGAATGCAGCTTTAGAGTAGATTCTTCCTAAATAAAAATTAAAATGGTTCTGTTACTTCAGTGGGCATACTAGTGAAAAAGGAAAGTAGTTTTGTTTTATGCCTGTGGATTTGTTTTAGGTGCTGATGGGTGGTTAAGAGTTTGGTCTGAATTGACATTAGCTGTTGGGTAAAAATGCACCAAAAGCATGTTTAAAAATGTGGAAGAAGTTTGGAAGAAGGAGACTATAAAGTCGACCTATTTAATTGCCTCTAATGTCAAACTTGGCTCCTGGCTGACCCTCAAATCTTTAGACTTGATACATCTTACTACAGAGCACACACAGGTGGGGAGAAAAAGCATAAATCATCTTTACAGAAGTCTGCAGATTCGATTTAGGGTTCCAGGAAGTGCCCAAGGCAAAATATGATTTTTTTATTGATAGAGATAATGTTGTTGGAGGTTCATATGATGCAAAGTAAATGCAAGTAGTAAATATGCAATTTCCTGTTTAAAGGGCCATTGGCTGTTTGAAATATTATACTCAATTATTGTTAGAGAATTGCTATACTGACTTTTTTTACATCTTTTTCTTTATGATGTGTTAATATAGCAAACTTACTCCAAGTAACTCCACAAAAAAAAAAAATTGGAACTGTTGCATTTTTACTATCCATCAAATACGTAATAATAAAAACCTTTAAAATTATTTCACATTGCCTCTTAGAAAGCAGTAGCTGACACTTAATTTTCCCAAGCTAAACTCTCTTCTTGCTTTGCAGAGCAAGCTCTAGTTTTCTTTGCGCTGCCTCTAGTGTCTGTGCGGTAGTTTTGGCATTCTCCGATTTCTTAGGCCTTACGTTGAAGCCCTCTTTTTTTAAAAAGTTCTTGTATTGACTGCTGAAACAGATCACTTTCCTTGAAAAACTGTTTGGCAGTCCTTCCCCCCACAACCTCGTTGTATTGCATGATTCATGTGCCAGTACAGCCAGGATGGAAGAAATGGATTGTGTGTTTTTAAACTACATCAGCCAATTTGAAGATCTAATTTAGCTTGCATCCCAGCAAGAAGTGCTGGAAATCAGCACATAAATGTTTCCCGATCTGGAACATAGATGTTTCTGTGCTTATACTAAGCAAGCCAAGTGGGTTTTGAAAAAGAAATCGAACCCCAGCTACTAGTGGCTGGATAGCTGACAAGCGTGTATTGTATAGTCAGTTTGCTGTTGACGCTTGCTACTAGAAAAACGAAGTCCCACTGCTAAACGTTTCTTTCAGCTTCAAACGCTACAGAGTGAAAATACCAACCTCAGAAGACAGGCCACAACCAATATATATCAGGTCCAAACTGGTTCTGAATACACAGACCCTTCCAACAGTTCTTCCTTAAAGCGGCGACCATCTGCACGAGGTAGCAGACCCATGTCCATGTATGAGACTGGATCAGGTCAGAAACCCTACCTCCCCCTGGGAGAGGTCACATACCCAGAAGAAAGCATAACAAGACTGCAGCCTTTCCCTCCACATGTAAGTAAAACTGCTGATGCTTCTGCATTTCTTCTTTTGTTCAGCTTTTCTGTCTATTCCAACTATGCTTGTGTACCAAAGCTGCAAAACTGTTTGCCTCAAAGTGGATTTAAACTGTAAGAATTGTTGATGTTTGCTGTATTAACATGTCTGCAGGAGCTTGATGTTTTGAAAAGTAAAAGCTGTAACAATTCTGGAATATGTGAGCTGGAGCTTTTGGCTTCTGCTCAGCTGTTTCTTTTAACCACAGTATATATGCCAAATATCAATGTGTGGCTGTTTGAAAACTAGGAGGGGGGGGAATAGTATTCCAAAGAGGTAGGTAAAGTTCTCGCATTTCTTTCTGGAGATATGTAGCTACGTGACAGTTTGTGGAACTTCAGAACCACCTTTCAAAAATAAAATAAAATTGAAGCTAATTTTTTCCTAGGCCACCAGTTTCTTTTCTGAGTTTGGAACTGGAGACTCAAGATGGTTTAGATCTGATAGTTAAACAAATTCTTCTGGTTTAGTGTTTTCCTGTAAGATGTGCTGCTAGTGGAGAGGGAGTTCTGTTTAGCCACAAGGATTTTGCACTGAGGTGTTCACGCTTTTGATAAGTGACACAAAACACACTAGTTCTTATTAAAGTTAATTTTTTGTTGCATCTTTTTAGATTGCCCTGTGGGCAGAAGTATGGGACAGGATTTTTAGGCATGTGTTTAACATTTTTTTATTTGTTTCAATATGTATAGTTGGTAGCACTATCTTGTACTTTCTTCCAAATAAATAATTAAGTCTTTTAAAGCCTAAGTAAACATTTTTTTTGCCTGGCACGAGGAAGGGCAAATGTTGCATGCACATTCCAAAGAAGACTGCACTAAGGAATTGGTGCAGAAATTTGTATGCCAGGTTTCCCTCCCTTCAATTAAACTAATAAGAACTTTAAACTATGAAATCTGGATCATTTTAAGTTCTATTGGCATGTTAATATAAAGTTCTGGCAGCAAGAAATATCGGAATTCTTTTGTATGTGGCAGTGTTTGAAAAACATGACAATGCTTTGTGTAGGTCCTTTGGTTATTTGGATGCAAGTAGTGGTTCTGAAGCATTGATATGTGGAGTTAGTTAATTTGGTGTTATGGTGAATGTATTTTATTCTCCGTGGAATTTAGCACCTCTGGAATATCAATATTAGAATTAACATGAAGTCAATTGTATTTTGAAATAATTCAGTCCACTCAAGCTTAGCCAAATTCTCAAAATCACTCTTCCTTTATGTCATCTCCGTGGTTTTAAGAATGTTCCTTTATTTCATTTAAGAATTTATTTGTGTTTTGTTTTTTGGTTTTCCCGAGTGTTTTTCTCTTTCCCATTTTTAGATCGGGAGGAGTGCGTTTGTGACCTCCTCTTCATCTCTACCTTCCTTCCCCTCCACGCTTTCCTGGTCAAGGGATGAAAGCACACGAAGGGTTAAGTACCTTCCCAATTGGTCTTTACCTGGAGGAGGTGGCAATCTCCTGGAAGCCCTTATGCCTCTGTCTTCTCCCCTTTCATGCTGACTAGCCTTCATGCTTGCATGGAGCAGTATTTCGTCACTTTTCCATTTCTTCTGCCACGTGCTGTGGATACTTGCCTCTCTCTAACTTCACAACAGCTAAAATCAGCATTTAACACCATGCACAGTTCTTCCAGATCACTTGTTTGACTGCATAACACTGGAAACAGCCAGAAGACAGGCTGGTTGCTGTTTGGAAAGTAATTCGGCAGGCACTCACTGGTATTTCATAAGCTGATCCATAACTCTTCCTACTGACTAAAATGCACTGCATGAGGCGTACACAGCTCGCTGGGTCCTAGCTCTAAAGCCTGCTTTCTTCGGGGGCTGTCAGTTTGCACCCATCCAGATTGGTACTAATTGACTGTTTATCTTGCAGATGTTCATTAGTTTGAAGTGAGTTCTTTAAGCACCCAAGCAGATAGCCATTCCTATTGCCACCCATACATTCAGTGTCAGCTAGCCTGCTTTCTTCTGACCTTGACAGAGGGAAGACTGCATGGGCTTGGAAATTGTTTTTAGCAAGACTCAGGGCAAGATTAAAACACTGAAAGTGTATAAAGGAAGCTTATAATGGTGTTCCATCAAGATCTACTTCTTAGAGGTTCTGTTAGCTATGGTACTGACAGGAAAAAAAACTGCAGTGTTACCAAGAAACATTAAATGCATTCTGTAAGCGTATGTTGTTCCACAGACACTGCCTTTGCTGTCGCCTCACTTGTGAGCTGTTAGCTATTTGAAGAAGCCTTGTCCAGTTTCTTAAACTTTTTTAAACACTGTTCTCTTTTTGTAGCGGGACACTTAAATCTAGTCTAACTCAAATTAATTTGCTAGAAGTGAGCATAAAATGGCACCTTGCAAAAGGACACACAAGAGTTTGATAGACTAGTCTGTCCACGACAACTTCTATTTAGATTATTTTTTATTTGGGATCCTTGAACTAATTGCAAGTTATATATTCAAAAGAAGGGAAAAGCACTTCTCATTCGCAGCTCTAGAATAGCATCCGTTGTTGGCTGTGACTGAAGTAATGGGCCCTGAGCAGGCACAGCTTAATGTGTCCCAGACTAATGAATGCTGAAGATGAACAACCCAGAGCTTTCACACTGCTGTTCGACCAGCCTGAGCTACCAGCTTGCACTGCTTGCAGAAGTACCCTCCATCCTCACAATGAGTTGATTGTATTTCAAGGTCTTTCTCTCTGACTAAACCTCTTTAACTTTGAAGCAAATATTGATACAAGGCCCTTTGGGCTGGTTTTAGATGTTTGTGTCATTTTGTAAAAATAATGAGTAGCTTATACCCATTTTGTTGTATTGTGTGTTCAAGATTGAGGCTTTGCTTGTTTCTGTGTTAGAACAAGACTTTCTGAGAGTAAACTTCAGAGAGAAGTTTTTGTATTTCTTCGTAACATAACATTTAACTGATTTTTGAAAAGATTGTTCAAGAAAAGTTCTCTCTTTTTGTTCTGCTTTTTCTGTGTAGTTTATGTAATGAAATCAGTACCGTCTCATTCCATTTCTTGGGCAAGCATTGCAGAGCCTCTAATCAAATTTTACTTCGTATTACTAAGTTTTTCAAAAAACGAGTCTGTGGGTCTAGATGTTGAATGGTCATACTCTGGCCTCTTCCTGCCAGGATAAAGAACCTGCTTTCTAAATTCTTGTTTCCCCATTTTATTTTGACTGTACAGTGTTTGGACATAGCAGTTGAGAAAATACTAGATTTGCAAGTAGGGCTGGATGATGAAACTTCCAAGAGAATATTCTGCTTGGTCAAATGCAAATTAGGGTTGGCTGCAGCTGATACCAGTACTGTGTAGTACTAGAAACTTGGCAGAAGTTTTGTTTGTTTTTATTGTGCAGTGATTCCATTACTGTTCTATATTACTGATTCGATACTATCCTATTGTGAGCAGTGTCTGTGACTCAGGCAGGAGCTGATGCAGAGGCTGACCCGTATGTAGAGTGAGACGGATGTGGTGTACTTGCACATGGGCGAGCTGTGGTGTGTGCTCCTGATGAGCTTTATGATTGTTAAGACTAGAGTAGGCAGATACGGTAGAGTAGGCGGTGATCCTGAGGCCTGGCTGAGGATGGGAGTGTGCCTCAGGGGCTCCAAACTGCAAATTCACATGAACTGCAGAGATCGGCCTGACAGTAGGTATTCGTAGAAGAAACCTCCAGGATGTTGTATTGCCTGGGCGGAAGCTATCCAAGAGCTGAACCAGGTCAGAGAAGGGAGCCTAGCTCTCTGCTTTGAATCTTTTGCTGACAGAGGATCCCTGGGATCAGCAGGGAGAGCACGCTTGAGCTGTCATGGTGCAAGTGTGCTTATTTGTGTTAGCAGCCCTCTGAGAGGGTGGAAAAAAAAAAGTTGAAAAGCAGTTCAGGGAAAAAAAAAACAAAAACCTGAGCATCAGTCTTGCCTATGGATTGGATGCTTTACTGGAAGGGGTAGAACTGGTCTGTGTGGGAGCAGGAGGTGGTGAGGGTTCTGCCATCGCACCTGGGAGGAAGCACGTGAGCTCAGAGGCAGGGAATGGGCAGCATTCTGGTTCCTGGTATGGACACAGTCACTGCCTGTCTCCCCAGGGGATGCCATGTGAAGGGCAGACCAGGAAAATACTGGGCTTCTGGGTCTCTGACTCTGTTTATGGCAACTGGTCTGTGTGGGAGCAGGAGGTGGTGAGGGTTCTGCCATCGCACCTGGGAGGAAGCACATGAGCTCAGAGGCAGGGAATGGGCAGCATTCTGGTTCCTGGTATGGACACAGTCACTGCCTGTCTCCCCAGGGGATGCCATGTGAAGGGCAGACCAGGAAAATACTGGGCTTCTGGGTCTCTGACTCTGTTTATGGCCTCCACCCTCTGAAGAAGCGCTCTGCATCTGGGCCTTCCTGTGCTCAGTCTGCCCTCCGCTCTGCAGTGGGCCTTCCACGCTTGGTTCAGCCTCCAGCTCTGTCTTCAGTCTTCCCTCTGCTGTGGTCCTCCCACTCTAGGTTTGACCTCACCTTCCTTGTGTGCTTCCCAATCTAGGCTTGGCCTCCTGCTCTGTGATGGGCCTCCTGCTCTGTGATGGGCCTTCACTCTGGGTTTGGCCTCTGCTGTGGATTTGGCCTCCAGGCTCACTTTGGTATCCCCCTCTTCATTCATCCTTCACTCTGGGTTCAGTCTCCAGGTTGATCAACCTTCCACTTTGCAGTGGCCTCCCACTCTTGGTCTGACCTCCACTTCCCTGTGTGCCTCTTGCCCTCATTTCGGTTTCCAGTTTGGAATTGGCCTCCCACCCTCCTTTCGACACACATTCTTCACTGGCCCTCCCCTCTTGATGGTTGGGCTTTTCACTCTTCTTTTATCTTGTGCTCTGTGAGCCACAACCCTCACTTGCTTGGCCTCCCACCCTGGCATCAATCTTGAGCGTTCAGTGAACATCAACTCTTCCCATTTTGGCCTCCCACCCCCGTTTTGGCCTCTGACCCCCGTTTCTGCCTTCAGACTACGATGGGCCTCAGCTCTCTCCACTCAGTCCTCCCACCCCCCTTCAGTCCTCCCTCTTCATGGTGGTCGTGCCTTCTCCATTGGGCCTCTGGGCCTCTCTCTCCGTGCCCACATGGCAGTTCCAGCAGCAGGGGAAGGACGCTGTGCTGTGACAGTCTCTCCAGTGCCGCAGCCTGGCCGGGTGCCGGAGCAGAGCCCTTGCTTTGTGTCTGGTGGGGCTGTGCTGTGCCGGCAGCACCCAGGGACTCTGTAGGAGCTGGCAGCAGGAGCGTGGGACAGGGCAGGGGGACAGCGGGCTCTGGGGTAGCGGCTGGTGCAGGGGCTGTTGTGCTGAAGAGCCTGTGTATGTGGGACATGGTGCTGGCACACCTCGGGGCTCTTCTTTCCTGCACAGCGCTGAAAGAAATCTGTGTTCATTGCAGGCCTCGAAGCTGGAGAAGCAGAGCAGCGTCTCTGAGAGCGACTACGATAACCCCACCACCCCTCTGGAGCTGGAGGAGACAGGGTAGGTGCTGTGACGCAGAGCTGATGGCGCAGTGACACAGAGCTGACGGCACAACTCCATGCTGTCAGAGGACGGGGAGTTGTGTAAGCAGCTGGTGCTGTCTCGCAGGGCCAACCTCTGCTTTGTTCCTGTGCAGGTCAGGCAGGAAGGGCCGGCAGAGGAGTGTCATTTGGCAGGGGGAGGGATCCATCCCTGAAGATGCCGACACAGCCCCCAGCTCCAGTTTGCCCAGTACAGAAGATGTGATTCGGAAAACTGAGCAGATCACCAAGAATATTCAGGAGCTGCTGCGAGCAGCACAAGAGAACAAGCATGACAGGTAAGACATGCATGCCGGGAAAGCTCTGGAATTTGTGAGAAAATAAAGGAAATTCTTCAAGTGTTTGCAGCAGTACAGCCACCACCACTCATGTTAGTGCTGGCGATGCTGATTTCACACCTACAAAAGGTGTAGTTCCATGGTGTTTCCTGGTGCACTGGACCTAGTGCCATGGGGTGAGCGGGGACGAGTGCCCAGCGCAGGCGGTGGGAACACAAGCTCCCATCCAAAAACCCAGCACAGGCCCCTGTGGCTGTGTTCTGCTGCAGCACTGCCTGCCCAGGGATGGGGAGTGCTGGGGAGCAAAGCACTTGTGAAGTCCTGCTGCAAAATGAGTCTTGTTTTAGATATAAATCAGACATGTTACAGGGAACTTGGCTTAAGTTTCTCTTGGATCTTCAGACCTCCGTGTCCTTCAGTTAGGACACCCTGCAGAAGTGTGATAGTGGCACCAAGGCTTGTTTGAGGAAAAAATTGTGAAAGCAGGGAGAATGTGGCTTTCCTACTGAAATATTAGTACAGATAATGTACCAGCAAAAGCTGTTTTGACCTATGGGGTTTAGACACAGAGATAGCCGAGCAAGCAGGAGACTGCTCATCAGCACATGGGTTAGCACGCAGCTTCAGCTCCCTCGGGGAATTTCTGGCCCAACTGAACAATTAATTTTCAGAGCAGCTGTGAGCAAGTAAAAGTGATACTGATCATCAGGTGGTGCTCCTGCACACCTCTTTGAGAAGGCTGTAAATAAGAGTTACGTCTTCCCAGGTATGAACGTGTTTTAGGTCTGGAAGAGCTTTGGTCTCCAGAAAATCTGAACTTGCAGACGGGCGGGTCTCACATCTGAACTGCTATTTCTGCCTGCCCTCCCAAGTCCTCTGCCTGTCTTTGCCTGTGAGAAGCGGCTGGCGATTTATGTTAAGCCCTCGCTTCCTGCCTTGCTGAGAGGAGTGCAGAACAATGGGGCCACTTTTGTTCTGTGTTTTTTCCTTCTTGTACTTTTCTATTTTTAGAAGGGACAGCACAAGGCCTGTCCTCCTCATGCTGAATGGCGAGTTCTAATGTGTTTGTGCTGAGCTCATTGCCCTTGTCCGTAACCTTTTCCACTGCAATCCCTTGTTGCTTGTTTCTCGCAGATCATAACGAGAAGCAACAGTAAAAGAAGCTTGAAATGAGTTTGGGTTTTATGTATATCACAGTTCTACAGTATTTGAATTATGTTTTTTTTTAAAATATCACTGAAAGAAACAATGCAGCATACCTAACTTTTGCTGTTGAATAGATTTTTAAACAACCTGCTACGTTCTTTTTTGTTTTCTCTTCTGTACTGTGTGTGGAGTGGGGCATTTGCCAGTACTTAAATGAGTATAATCTTGCAAAACACTGAACTGGGAAGCTGCTGTTCTTTGTTTTCCTATTCACTGGCTTTGTCTCAGTGGGCTGAGAACTGCACAGCCTGGAGCACACAGGAGATGCAGTAGTCTTGTTCTGCTCTTCTCTTCTTGAAGTAGGAGAATGCCTCCTTAACTAAATGAGATACTCAAGAATGTAATAATGTGGCTTCCAGCTAGTGCTGGGAATGTTGTAGGTAAAAATCATGCACTGCATAGATAATTAGAGAGTAATAAAATGATTCAATAATATAATCTATTAATGAAACACCTCCTTCCTTTTTTTTTTCTCTTGCTTTCTTCTGTTCATTTTCCTGTGCTCCGCTGGCCAAGTAGACCACAGGAGCATGTGGGCACACTCAAGCTCAGACATAGCCTGGGCTGCTTCGGCATGCTGGTTCCCTGGGCTGAGAGAGTTCCCCTGCAGCCTCTGACCGTCCAGCAGCCCGCTCCTGCCTCCTGGTACTCTGGCCTCTGTCCCTGCCTCCCAGGCACAGTGTCCTTTTCTCTTTCTCTCTGCTGCCTCTGTCCCTCACGCACCATCTGCACAGGGGTCCTTAAAGGCTATGCATGAAATGCTTCGGATGGTAACGAAACTGCAGATAGCTACTACGGAGAGTCAAGAACCTGTGATATTGCCCGCTCAGCCAAAGCTCCCGGTATTGATCCAATAGGGAACAATCCCAGCCTGGAACTCTAACTGTCCCTAGTGTAAAAGATTCTCCTGTCTCTGTTCTGTTCACTGTCCATCGAGATAAATTCAATCACGACAACCAACAGCACAATGTGTAGTTGCTGCTTCTGTGCATTGTTGCAAAAGCAGCAGAAGTTTCATGGTTCCTGAGGTGCAACATTCACACCCGACAGCCTGGACCTCCAACTGGCATATCAAGAGAGATCATGGGTATCTTGAATCAATGAAAAAAGATGTGTGCGCTTATATAGTGTCTTCCAACCTGACCAAAATATTGTTTCTTAATGCCTAAAATAAATACAGAATTTGAGATGTTCTTTAAAACACAACTTCCCATGTTCCAGCCTTGGGTATTACTGCCAGTGACAAATATCAGGGTTGGAGGAAGAGGTTGCCACAAGTTATGCTCATGATGGATTCTTTTTTCCAAGCTGTCACTAACTGAATATCTTCCTGATGTCTTCCTGGGACATGTGTAAACTCAACAGAAGTGTCAGCTTATTTCACGAGCTGACAGAGAGTGTTTAGACAATAAAATAAAGCCGTTCCTCCAAGAGATACTGTAAACTTTGCAGCTAACCTAGAGAACAAGTTATGAAATGTGTCATTAATCGTGGCCTCTTTCATTCAAGTAACTCTTGGGGCTTTTTCTCCTTGTTAGTGGAGGGTTTAATCATCAAACTGGCTTTTTAATGAGGTGAAGTGCTGTTCAGGCTGGCTTGCAGGGAGCAAATTAATTGTTAACTCAATAGCAGAATGGCAGTTACAGTGAACTTGGGAGACTTTTCTCCACTTTTAGTTTATTTGGAAGAACTCCTGTGATTTGAGACATACAGAAATACTCCTTTTCAAAGCAATTTTCCTGCATTGCCACAATGACCCCAGTGTGTTGCTTCTTTCTCAGCACATTTGCAAGTGACCTATTTTTGCACCTTTGGTATGACAAGATGACTGCATAAATAATAACTTGGGGGTTGGGTTTTTGTTGTCTTTTTTTTGCTTGAAAGGGCAGTGATCCACCACAATCTACAGATGCTGAATATTTTTCTTGAATGCTGTTGCTTTGCGACTTCGAGATTCTCTTGCTTAAGATGGAATCTTGTTAACTAACTCACGCTGAAACGGAGTCTTTGAAGCATAAAAACAATGAAATTAGACTTTTGACAGACCACACTAACGCAGCGCTTCGCAGCAGCTTATGGTCAATAGTTTTAACATCTGTTTTGAACAGACCAACTTTCGTTTCATATATAAGTCAGAAGTGAAATCTACGAGGACTAATGGAATCTGCATTTGTTTCATGAGCTAACTCAACAGAATTACTGAATATCTAGCCTGTAACTCGCACACAGTGAACACAGTTGGCAGCTTGGAGATGCATGTATCAGTTGGTTGCTGTATGAGAATTGTGCGTTGTCTGTTTACTGTGTACAAATTCATGGGAGAGGGCATCTTGGTGTTCTGCAGTTACCTTCCTGTGATGGTTTACCTGTAGTTAAACTTTACCAAAAAGCAGGGTGTGGATTCTGTACTGGAAGTCTGGCATACCCCGTTCTCTGTAGGTGTCTGGCCTTCCAGTTTGTGAAATGAGAAAGGGGAAATAGGTGCATGGTGCTGCATTCCCGGCTTCAGCTGACAATGAACTGATACAAGGATGGAAATAAATCTCCTTGGAATCAAGGTGTGTCCTCAGCGTGCATCTCTGCAGCAACCCGAGGCTTCCAGCCTGGCTGCTGACCCGGAGAGGCAGGTGTTTGTTAAAGAGATCGCTCAGAGCTCAGCTGAGAACCGATGGGTTAAAAGGCCTTGCTGCCACGTGGTTTTAGTACAGTTTTTTGGGTTTACTGTAGTTTGGTAACTTGGGTACAAAGTGGTTTTTTAAAGGCTTCTACGTTGTAACTTACACATGGAAAAGAAGTAGAGAGAAAATGCATTGCTTCAGGCAAGAGAGTCCTCTAAATTATTTTTAAGAGTTTGGATGGCCAAAATTCAACTCTGAAACATAAAATCAATTGAAGCACCTTTGGGGTTTGTTTTTAATTTTTCTTCAGAGATTACTGGATATTTTTAGCTCCTTGGATCCTTAGCAGTTTTTAAACTTTTCTTTTAGTAGACTGGTTTTACAGTCTGTTGGCTTATGCAGAAGGACCTCTTTTGAAACAAATGGATAGATGTCCCTAAAATGTCAGAAAGCTAAACTAACTCAGATCCCACACACAAAGTGGTTTGTTTTATCCACTTTTGATTGTAAACACTGCACTGAGGAAGAAAAGTTGCTTTTTTCCCCAAGCACCTCTGTGTCACCAGATTTTGTTGAAATATTTTCAAACTGCAGGATCTTACTTTACTTTGTGCCTGGCCTATGTGACCCGGGCGCTTGGGCATGCTCTCCCACATGTAACAAGTATGTTGATGGTGCATACACCAGACAGAACGAGCTGAGCGATTTTCTGTACAATTTGCAGATGAATTTTAGTATTTGAATAGTTGGGCGAGGTGGGAGGTCAGGAAATGCGAGCATATGAATTAATGTGCAGTTAATATTCAGAGACACGTTTCCATGATCACATAAAAATCGAGACTTTCTCTGACAATGTTTGCTGTAATAGGTGTGAACAGTTCTTCCTGCAAACAAACTTTGATCAAAGAATAATGAAAACTTCAATAATTTTGTACTATTGGTACAGTTCTTGCTTTTTCTGGAGTCACATAGTTAGGTACAAACTGCTGTGTGCTGGGGAACACTGAGGAGACACCCAGAGTCACCGTACCGTGTGTGGCACTGCCTGCTTCAGCTGCCTTCAGTGCAGCCTGCAAAGATTTTTAGAATATATCTGGGAGTTTTGTTACTCAGTTGTTTTTAGAATAATAGCCACTGACTAGTGAAAACAAAGAGGAAAAGGAGTCTTTACCTAATGAATAATGCATCGCATCTTTTTGCAGCTATATACCATGCTCGGAGAGAATACATGTGGCAGTAACAGAAATGGCAGCTTTGTTCCCAAAAGTAAGTACTTTCCAGCATTAATGTTTTTGGCCTCATTCCTCGTTAGTAGATTTCCCATCAGTAAATTAAAACCAAAAGCCAAAGGTAGGGAGAAATTACAAGATGTTTTTGTCAAATCTTGCCTCTTTGTATTTATTAGCATGCCAGTTGGGAATGGCTCATCTGTGAAGCCAGGCCTTTAATTTTACTCTTGAACTTAAAGCTCTCAGAATTGCACACAGTTCCTCCCAAACTGGAGGTTCCTTGCATCTAGCTTGAGGAGTCATTGGTTATATGGGAATTTTGCTAGACCTGGCCCCCCAAGTTTCCAGTGGAACGCCATTGCCTGGATTTCTTACATGCAGGTGTGGTTAGATCCGTTATCTCTCTACCAAAGGGATCTGTTTCTTCACAGCAGGCTTAGGGAGTGAAATCTCCATGATTCATTTTTTGTAGTCATACCTAGCTCTTAAAAACTGGAAGGAAAATGTGATGCTGATGTGCCTACCTGAATGGGTTGTCTTGTACACGCCGTACCCTGATGTCAGCCAGGACATGGGCTGGGCAGCAGTAAACGGGCACTAGAAAACTCAGATGAGTAATTTCCTAAATGAGAGCCCAAAGCAGTATTCCCTGTGTGCTGCCTGGCAGCAGTTTGGAATGTCTCTGAGATGAGAGGAGAAATTCTGGGAACTTGTTTCATCCAGCCCTGCCCTGCGTCTCTGCAGCAATGGCTTATAACATCTTCTGTAACGCAGAGAAGTCCCCTAACAGCAGAGGTTTTGTATTAAAGAGCACTTGTGAACCACTACTGGCTCATTAAGGGCGATACTAAAATGGTTTTGTTGTTCTCTCAAGTTCAGCTTCTGCTTTCCTTCCCCAGAAACCCAAATCTGAGCTGGTAAGGACTTCTTTGCGTCTGCTGACATCTAGTGCCTACAGACTCCAATCCGAGTGCAAAAAAACCCTTCCTATGGAGACGTGCCCCACGACGGACATCCAGCTGGTCACACAGCAGGTCATCCAGTGCGCCTACGACATTGCCAAGGCTGCCAAACAGCTGGTCACCATCACAACCAAAGAGAACAACAATTGAGTCCAGCTTGGCTTTTTAGTCTTGTTTTTTAAAGGTTGAATTTCAAATATAGGTGTGGAACTATTCACATTTTTATGAGAAAAACTAAAGGGGCAAGAAACCTTTTTTAAAAAAAAAACCTCAGTATTATTTTTGCATGTTTTCTAACAATTTTATGATTAATTTAACCCACTGCCTTATTTTGTGCCTGTGTTGCCAGTTTAGTTACAGATAATAGCATGTTGCAATAGCTGTCGAGCCAATATCACCTCCCAACGTTGTATCAAGCTCTTGCTAGATGTTTCCCTGGGGCCACGTTCTGCTTTCAGATATCGCTTGGAAAACTGCTGAAGTCGGCTGCATGTGTCAGAGGGCAGACTCTCGCCTCTGCTCTGTCTGTCCTGGAGCCTCACGTGCCACGATGCTGCTGACCCAGAAACCTGCAGCCAAACAGGCTCCGAAGGCTCCCGGAGCGTCACTGCTGCCCAGCAGGAAGACCGTCGTAGTCCTGAGAGTGGAGTACGAGCTGAGTATTATCTGTTCCCATATCAACTGTTGTGCAATAATGTTTTTAGTCTGCTAAAACAATAGTAGTTGTGGGCATCCCAGCTTATTCCATGTAACTGTACAAGGTCTTTGTCACTTTATCTGTTTTGGAAGGAATTTGAAACTTAATAGTTCTATTATTTCTTTTAGTTGTCACTATGCCATTAATATATGTTTGATGTTACTTTAGGGCATTAGTGGTTAAGATATTATCCTTTGTTTCTGATTTAATTATTGATTCTTAAGTTTCCTACAGAATTTTGTCATCTTCAAGGCACCATCTTGTTTGCAGCAGCATTGCTCAGTAATTCAAGATGCAATTTCACTAAAGGTTTGTGATAATTAAAAAAAAAATTAGGTGCCAGTGCAAAAGCAGCTGTGTCTGCCACACTGTGTAACCTCTGTACCTCAACATATCCAAATGTGAAAAGATTGCTTGTATCTAATAAGTTTTATGCAAATCTTTCAAAATTTTACAAGCTACATATGGAGTAACCCAAGCTAGGCTGCCTGTCAGAAAGGTAGGTGAGTGACAAACATCAGTGCATGTTTCTGGTTTTTCATTCATAGCAGGTCACAAAACTTCCCAAAATGTGTCAGTCTGGACTTTGAAAAATGGGTGTTCTTTGGGAGTCTGAATTCCATGGGTGGGAATCCCTAATTTTTGCCTCTGTGTGTGTCCCGTTGGATGCGTGTTGTCACTTTGAAGGAGCCAGCCATGGCCGTTCAGCTGGCACCCACTTAAAGCCCTGCGGCAGCAGCTGCTGGGAACATGTAGACAGTTTTTGCGGAACTGGCTATCTGCCGTTCCACAAACAGGGCTGCAGTACATGATCTGCGAAAACCACACACTCTTCGAGGCGTTCTGGTGAAAAACTGCCCTATGTAGGTTAACAAACGCACTGGAGTTGAGTGGTTGGTTCCCTTTCAGCTCATACCGTTTGTATCTATATATAAACGCTCAGTGCCGTAATGCTGTTGGATTCTGGCATGCTGTAATTATCTCCCTCTTTGAAGTGGTGCGAGCTGGAGGGAGGGAAGGAATGGAGGGAGCAGATGACAACCCAGTAAATCGGTGTTCTTCACTGTGGGGTTTGTTATTTCCTTTCTGCACTTCTGAATTCCAGAACTGCCTCTAAACTCCCAGGAATGGAGACAGGCTGGGCTTAGAACTGCAAAAGACATTTGTGAAACCTACTTCAGAATTGTGCTACTGGCAATTAAATACATTGATCATCTTTTAGGAACTTTTTCTTAAAAAAATCATTGCAAGGCAGCAGGCGGTATTTTTAGATCTCTCAGGACACCATTGTGTGCTTTTCGTTAACATATCTTACCTGATTTCCAAAGCAGGCTAACACTGTGTTATGTTGTAAGTTATCAGTTGTTTAAACTTGCCTCTGTACCAAAACAAACGGACACCTGGATACCTGCAGGCCCTCGTGCCAGCTGTGTAGCTCCAGGTTTTCTAAAACCAGCCGTTTTGCTCATGGGAAGGCCCAGCTCTAAAACCATGGCCAACCTGTAACTGATTTCCCGTTCTGTCACTTCCACAGCATTTCTGGTCAAGTCCCCCATCTCTGAACAAACTTTTGTTCAGGTTGGTTGCGGTTGCCCTGTGGCATTGCTGCAGAAGCACGGTGCCTGCCCTGCCCTACAGGCAGTGTTGTGGCGTTCTCAGTCCAACACAAGAGGTCTGAGCACATGCTTATGTGCTACATCAGCTCTTCACAACCAGGCACCGTGCTTCAAAACCAGGGGTGGAACTAAAGAGGAGCACATAGAGTAGCACTCAAATCTACAGCACTGCAGGTCAGAAGGTGTGTAATACCTGAAATAACAATCGTGTCAGATCTCTTTTTTTTTTTTCCCCTGTAAGATACTTGGTCTCTCTTTACAAAATGCTGCGTAGGAAAGTGGAAAAAAAAAAGTTTGCCTTTTACCAAAACTTGTATTTATCAGTGTCATCCTGTCTGTACAATATTTTTACTTTATCTTTTGTTTACTGTATTACTATAAAATGGTAAAACCCTTTCCGTGTCTGACATTATTTGGGGTTATTTGACTGCTGGTTCTGTAAAGAAAAGATCTTGAAAAAGTTCCTAGAGTTCCTCATGTAAAGAAACAAAGAGTTGGTCAGGTTGCAGTTATTCATTATACCGTATTATACAGCCAGCATTTAGTGAAGTCTTCAGCCCCTCTTGGAGAGGAGCTGGAGTGGTAAGAATCAGTGCTGCCGCACACATTATTTATCTTGCTTATCTTGCAGTACAGAGCAACTCCCAAAAGCCAGCTGGGCCTCTGGGCCCATCCTCCTGCCCCGAGGAAACCTGTCATCACAGCTCCTGAACACAGAGTGAGGGAAGCAGTTCAGGATCCTCCAAGGCTGCTCACACCTCTCTTCTTGAAGCCACTAGAAATCTGGTCGTGTGTTCATCTGGGCCACAGCTACGTATTTTCAGGTATGTCACTTCTACCGAGTTGAGTCTCGGCATCGTTTAGTACTATTCCAAATTTCTGGAGTTCCTTGATTCTTCAAAGTTTTCTTTCTCTAGTCTGCAACTGCATTTAGTGTTTGTTCCTCAGGTCCAAGGGCCAAGAATCCTCAGGTCCAGGCTGCTCTTGGGTAACTGTAGAGCTAAGGGGGTCAAAACAAAGATCATAAATACATTATGGACTCTAGAATTCATCTTCCCCATGTGCTAGTCAGTGTGCAAAGAAGGTACTTTGGAGAGTACAGACCATCCACTGAGAAAAAGCATCAGTAAAATCTGAGTTGATGCTTTTAAAGGAGTAACACCTTTGAGCTTCCTCTGATTTCAGCAGCTACTGTCTCCTATGTGACAGACTGGTGAGTGACTCTACACAGTAGCTCACAGTTCAGTGTGAAAAATACGATCTGCTGGGGATGGGGGTTAGGTAAGGTTACCCAAATTCAGCTTAGTTTTTATAGCTAGGCAACAAGATGGAAAGACAGTGAGCAGCTGAGATGCACTGAACCAACTGCATTAATGCCCCTGATAATGATGAAAATAATTAGAATAACATCTCAGGCAGAAGCAACAAGTCTGCCTCAAAAATTCTTTAAAAATTGGGACTTCTAAAGCATCAATATCAGCAAAAGAGGAAAGCAATCTGTAAGAGAGAACTATAGACCTCTGTCAGAGACAACACAGGGGCAAGGACCAAGCCCAGCATTCTGCCTGGGCTCGCGTGACAGGATGACCTGTACACTCAGGATTTCCCTTGGCGCTGCGACCTACCCTGCTGCGATAGCCCTGCTCTGCCATGTGCCGGGCCTCCTGCCGCACCAGCTCCTTGCAGCGCTGCTGGGCCAATCTCTCCTCCTCTTCCTCCTTCCTCTGGCGCTGCTGCTCCTCCTGCTCACGCAAGCGGCGTTCTGTCAGCTGGGCACAGAGCAGACAGGGTGTTACAGCCGGAGGGGACACAGAGCAGGCAGCCGCAGCAGCTGGGTGCGGATCCGGAAAGCGTACCGTACCTGCGCCTCCAGCTCCTGCCTGCGTGCTGTCCGCAGTTCCTCCTTCTGCTCCTTCTCTCGTCTCGTCAGTTCTTTTGCTTCTTCAAGTTCTTTAATGAGCTGCTCTCTATACTTTATCGACTCTTCTTGGGCTCGTCTGTTTAACTCCATCTTCTCTTGGATCTGGCGCTGTCTGCCCGCAAGGACCTTTGGGAAGGGAGAGGATTAAGGGAGAAGGTAAATCCAGAAAGGGGCCAGCCTTGGCAGAAGAACCAGGGAGATCTCAGTGCAGACGGTTAAACGTCTCAGAAAATGTATCAGACAAGCAGAAAAATTCTGAAGGCTGTGGAGGGTGAAGGGTTACAGCTGGAACAAACCAAGAGAGACCCCTCATCAAAAACGTCCTCACCTCATTCATCAGACGATCTCTGGCTGCCTTCTCTCTTTCCCATTCTTCCTCCCTCTTCTCCCACATTTTTCTAGCTTCTTCTCTAAAGAAGAGAGGAAGAATTATCTCTAAGGTTACTACTTTCAGTTAAAGAAACCCCTCTGTATGCTCCGTGAGCACAGAGGAGCTCCCATGTGCTTTAGAGGAGCACTCGGGTGTCTCCTCACATTTGCTCCCAGGCAGCGAGCGTGTCTGCCCCACCTGCACCTATTTCAGATCCCCTGGTTCCTAAACAGCAGGAGGTAACGCTCCGAAGGAAACGCTGGCTTGTAGCGGGACTTCTGGGATGTGCCAACGTGCCCCGTGCCCAGCAGGGAGGCAGCTCGCCTCTTGCCAAGGGTGCTACTTCACACCGGGATGGGTGGGTAAGGGCGCTGCTGGGAAAGCTGAAGATTTTGCAAATCTTCCCTCTGCAACAAAACCTTTAACTAAAAGCTGATGGTAGCACACACCATCCTGTCGCCAGGGAAGATGCTCTCTGGGCTGGGGAGAGCGTAACGTGAACCTGAACGAGGAACCTGAGACAGCTTTTATCTATAAGCTCTGAGAATCAAAAGGAAACACTCCGCAGGTCTTGCAGCCACTTAGGCTGAATCCCTCTACATCAGTGACGCCGAATCACTGACAGCTGGTTACAGAGCACTTACAACTACAAGGTAATTCTTGCTGTCTCTGCGCTACTACCTTTTTTGTTATTAAAGCTGTTGTATTAGAACTAATAGAACTATAGAAATGATGGACTAGGTCTTGTGCTGAGATAACTGACAAACAAGCGCAGGCTTTGATTCTGTCCTGGCAGAAAGGCTTTGGGTCTGTGTGTGGGGGCACACTGGCTGCCCAGCACAGTCCTTGGCACGGAGAATGAAGGGGCAGAGCTCTCTTCTGCAGTGCTTCTGGAACTGCAAAGCCCCCCAGGCACCTCTTCTAACGTCCACTTTCACAGGCTATTTAACATGAATGAACTCTACCAAGCAGGCAGGAATGTTTGGCTGGTACAATCTTTTCAGATGATGCTCAGAGGCGGGCAGACTCACCTGAAAATCGTCTGCAGCTCTGCTTCCCTCTCCTTTTCTAACTGGAGCTGTTCCTCAATGACCTGTTTCATCCAGGCAGCATCCGCAACAGCTCGTTCTCGCCGCGCGGACTGGCGGCACTGATCCTCATCTTCTTTCTCAAGGAGGGCTAATAAGATTTGCCGGTCCGTCTCCTTGAGAAAAACCACAAGATTAACAACTACTCAACATGCTTCCAGGCTGTGCAGGGCTACTCTCTACAAATTATCAGTGACATAGTGTCAAGGGTGTGCTCAGGAAGATGCTGAGTCTGCTGGCTTCCCCACGACCTTTTTGCTCCAGCCCTGTTCACAAGCTGTGA